GACTTGCGCTGCACATTTTGCAATTTAACTGGATTTTCCTTTTTTAAAGTGATTTCAATCGTATTTCAAGCAATTTAAAAGCATCTTATTGAACAGTGCGCATCTAAAGTACCTCAGCTGAAATAAATAATACATTATTTATCGGCTTTTAGATATCGGCTAAATGTTCTTGTTGGGCCGATAACGATGACATTAAAAATGATCATATATCGGCCGATACCGATAATGTGGCCGATATATTGTGCATCCCGACTCAGTATATGCGCATGCTGTGTATTTTTATGGTTGTAAGAGTGCTGCACTGTTAGCTTAGCTTAGCTGTTAGTTATTTAAATCATGTGCAATCATGAACTTCCCTATTCGATCACTTGCTAGGTTACATTTGAGTGTGGATGTCACCCTTTGTACACAGCAAGACAGCTGTCTAAGTTTTGTAGAAGAGATATTGACTTTTCTATGCTCTGTTCTAGATTCTTGTTAAACACCGTCCGTATCCTGCATCAGCTAATAATGATATCTTGTTCCCAATACCTCCGCCAGTCCAGTGGGCACAAGGGTTCGAATAAGCCTGGAATGTCCCTCTTTTGTGTCTTGGTAACGGTAGCTTGGCAATCCAGACAGCTTGTCTTACAGCATTAGCACAAGAGCTGATTTACAAGTTCAAGTAAGGAAACATAGCATTCCTTTATTGATAGCTTTTGTTATAGTCTGGTTTAGCTTTATATTTGCAGGGGGGAATTGCTCAAGTCACACTGACAAAAGAATAATTGAGACTCGGGAAGTTTTATTGCTTTTTGCCGAGTTGCAAAAGTTGGTTTACTGTACCACAGTGATCCCATAATGTCATCGCTGGGCAACCGCAGAGTGGTTTCTTCTCATTTTTGCACACCCTGCACTGGTGTATGAGCATGACTGAAGCACATCAAAGCTGCAAGGGCTCCCTACTTTGGTCCTTGTCCTTAAATGTGCATTCTGTATTTCTCAAAAGTTATAGAAGAATGAAAGAAAACACACCAGTATGACTATTCAAAATCCAGACAGGATCTGTAAACACAGCCTGTAACACTATCCCCTCCCGTCTCGCTTCCCGGTCCTCCGAAAACAGCAGTGTAAACAAGCGACGCTCCACGAGAGAAGAAAAACAGCACAGGCCTCAGCAACAGGCTGATCTATAGAGGAGAAGCAGAAGGGTCCTGTCTAAACACTGCCTCTTATTAAATACGGTGTGACGTAAAAGCGCAGGGGGAAAGGTCAGGGTTACTCAAACACTGCACACGGGCAGCGGCCTGACGGAAACAAACGGCTTTCTCCTCTTCCCTGCGCAGAAGAATGACAACCAGTCCTGACATGAAATGGTGTTGAAGTGTGTGTACATTCTGTTAAACAAAATGTAGTTTGTGAGAACTTTTTTTTTAATCAAGGATGCATTAAATTGATCATAAGTTACAGTACACACATTTGTAATGTCTTAAAATGTCAAGCAGCACAACTTTTTTCAACATTGATAATAATAATGATACGAAATGTTCTTTTGAGCAGCAAGTCAGCAGATTAGAATGATTTTTGAAGGACCATGTGTCATTAAAGACTGGAGTAATGACGCTGAAAATTCAGCTTAAATGTTAAAATATATTAAAACAGAAAACAGTTGTTTTAAGTTGTAATAATATTTCACAGTATTACTGTTTTTACTTTTTTTATTTAGTTCAATAGCTATTTAATTTCAATTGAAACAACATTTTGTATATATATATATATATATATATAATTGCAGCTTTGGTGAGCACTTCTTAAAAAACATGTAAACAAACCCAAACTTGTCTCTTGGCATAAATGTTTTTTAAATTTAGGTCCATTTAAGTCCATTTTTCTTTAAATAGGTATTTAATTTCAATTGAAACAACATATATATATATATATATATATATATATATATATATATATATATATAAAACATTTAATCAAATGTTCAAACGTTGTTTTATATTAACATTTTATATTAACATTTGTAAAATTTTACATTTATTAGAAAACTCAAAATTATTATTGTTTACTATTGCATATTTTTTCTTGATTTACTTTTGCTTTTCCTCCCTTTTTTCTCATGTCACTCACAATTTCAGGTTTCATCATGTCCTCCATCTGTGACTCATTACAGTTCCCAGAAATTATTTCATATTTTTTCCCCCTCAAGTAATTTATATGTAATCTGCATCATGGCCCAAATATGCTGCGCTCCAAAAAAAAAAAAAATAATAATAAAAAAAAATGCATTGCTGTAGCGGTCGTTCTAAAACAAGTTCCTTCTGAGTTCCTCGGATAGTCCGGATAGTCTCAAGTGAGACCATGCAGGAATTCGGCACCCACCATCTTATAATGTCTGTGGCGGCCCAAAAGAAAAAAATCTGGGGGATGATACTTGTGGAAACAATGCTCCAATCCCTGGAGCTTCACCTTCCATTGATACTCCAGAAAGGCCCGTTTGTATTTCTAAATTAAGTTTCTGCCTCCTTTTATGGGCCTTCGTGTTCCTGAGCCCACTGTGTAAAGGGCCTTTTGAAAGTGGGGTTTTAACACACAATTGGATTACAGCAAAGCACTTGGTGAGAAAGCGGCGGGTTGGGACTAGCGGACCTGCGAGAAGTACAGATGGTTTAGCGCATGCATAATGAAACAGACCAGGCGGTGTGTGTGTGTGTGTGTGTGTTGAGAGTGGATGAACGCACCCCCCCCCCCCCCCAAAGCCCTCAGCGTGGCCTGGGAGAGGAAGAGTCGGAGGCAGGCCAGGGGGTATAATGCTCCTACCCAACCTGCCTGCTGCCGCAAGCCGGTCCTAATGATCTAATTAGGGAATCACCTCGCCAACTAATTCACTCGCGTTCCTATCGGTTCGACAACGTGAAGCAACCTGTGCCTGTCTCAACTAGCTCAGGTTTGTTATCGGATGCTAAATGACTTCTTTTTACCTTTTTGATTGTTCGATGATGACTGAATCACTCCAGGTTGCTTTTCCCATCAGTTCGACACTGTGAAGTAACCTGAGCCCATCTCAATTAGCCCAGGCTTGTTATAGGACGCTAAACGACGTCTTTTTTCCTCAGCGTCCCTTTTCGACAGTTCGATAATGAATTCTGTTGTCGTATTGAGGCAGAATAACACGTTGACTGAGTCACTCCAGGTTGCTTTTCTTCTCCCACACCGAGCGGCGTTCCCATCTTTTTGATGGTGTGAGAACAAAATTAGAGATAGGCAGGAACCATCCCTCCTCTGTCTTTCAGTCGGCGGCCCATAGAGTGGCTTGTTATGCTCTTGTATAGAGGATTTAGGCCTGATGAATGGGCCTGTTTGTGCACGGTATTTAGTTGTTTGTTGTTTAGTGTCTTTTTTTGTTGTTTATTTCAAGCGGGAGGGGTTTTTTGTGTCACCCCTCGCTCTCCGAGGGCCCTCGACAGGGGGTAAATGCAGATGTGACACACAGAGTCTGGGTCTCACGCCTCATTTACATATTTAATTAGCAATGGGCGCTGTGTGAGAGAGCACTTGGTCCACTGAGGGCAACTGGGAGAGTGTGTGAAAGTCCCCGCACACTCTCACCCACCCGGCACCCGGTTTCCCGGCCCCCTTCGTTGCGCTTTCACATATCTCTGGGCTGTTGCTGGGGCGGGGGGTTGTTGCTGCGTTGTTTCGGCCCACTCTTCAGATTGCCTTTGTTTTAAACTGTTGATGCAGACGGCAACGCTGAGCTGAATGCAAACAAGGCCCTAAATTGTTTACTTTGTCTAGGAGCAGATGAAGGGGCTGGACAAACTTCTTTTTTATGGTGGTGGTGAGAGTCTGGGTTTTGCTTTATCTTCTTTTATCGAGAGTTACTTATCCATGATATCTCATTAACTGAAATTCTAAGAAGTTTTTTGTTACATTTGTACTCTAAAGTGATGTTCGAAGTTACTTTACCCATGATTCATTTATTACCGAAAAATGAACTGAGAAAAGTCATGATTCAGATTTGCCATCCATTTTGTTTGGGTTGGTCACAAGCGTGACATAAGTAATATTTCTCCCAGCATGACTATTTTATCTCCAGTGCAAAATCAATACTCACCCCAGCGTCTAAATCATCATAAAGGGTGTTTCTTTGCCCGTTTTTGGCTGTCGTAGAAGAGTTAAAGTGAACGGGGTGAATCTTTGCGAAAGTTCCCTTACTGTCTAGGCACGAAGCATTGCCATCGCAGCTAATGGCACCGTTAAAGAGCTTTCTTGGGAGAAATCGGAGCCCATCAAATTTATAGGGCCTTTTTTTATGCAGTACACCCAGGTCTGAAGGCTTTCTCTCTCCCTAGACTTATTTCCATAAGTGCCTCGGCTGCAAATAGCACACTCAGTGTGAATTCACAGCCCAGGCCCCACTGTCGGTCTGACCTACCGAGCCGCGTGCCAAAAGGACATTGGCTAGAGTACAGTCAGACCTTTTTATTTCCGATAACTTCCCTTTGTGTCTGAATGCTAATAAATGTAGGCTGAAACTTACAGTTAAGTCTGTTAACACTTCATGTTCGATCAGTTCCAATCCAGTGTTTTTAATCACTTTATTATTTACCATAGCCCAGATAAATATACTTTATTTACCACATCATAGTTTTTATGTTGCAACGAATCTCATTTATTAACATGTTAACACTGTCGTTTAACGCCTAGAAAGACGTATTTTTGCGACGTCTGTCGGTCTATTGTGTCATCAGTCAGCTCTATTGAACCGTCAACACGATGGCCTCCTGCATACACACATCTGTGTAGGGTTTCATGTGTGCGTTTGGCAGCCAGACTGCACGGTCAGCACGGCCATCCATGATTCCTTGGTACTCTGGACTAAACGCTTACTATATAAGTCTTGAGATTCTGGAAACATGATTTCAAGAGACTGTCAAGTGCAAGTGCTTGTGAAACAAAAGTCTCACTTTCTGACTCTCTCTCTCTCTCTCTCTTTGTGTGTTTTTCTACAGAAACAGGGCAGTCTGATAGTCCGAACCAGCCCAGTGATGGCGACATCAAGGACCAGCCAGAAAACGGTGAGTGTATCTGCTCACATTTTCCATCATATCCGGAAAAATACATGTGCATATCCCGAAAAGATATCCAGGTTAACAGAACCATGGGCGAATGGTGTGTTCTATTACAGCCAACGAACCGACTCGGACCTCGGATATGACGTCACGTCCACACTTCAAGCGTTCTATTACGCTTTGCGCGTCCGAGTCGGAGAAAAAAAATGAAATACCGTGATGTCTGGAATACCGAAAATGTGATTTAGCACTTATTATGACTACACCTTATCAAAACGCAACCATTTGAACTTGAAAATGTTAGCTTTATTTAATGTTTTTCATGTTAATCTTCTGTTAGCAACGCTAGCAACGTTAGTAATTGCACTCACAACAACCGATTCCCATACGCAGTAATACGAGTGATTATAATCGTCATTTAAAATACCAAATCGGTTCAAAAACAATGAAATCAATTCATACAAGTCACACAGGGCGCAGCCATCTTGAATTCCGAAACGGAATTCTTGCTCGGTGTCCTCACGTTTGTCCGACGTCCGAGAGGAGAAATCCGAGGAAAGGGGGCGTGTTGCTAGGCAACGTCTTTCTTCTGATTCGGATCTCCGAGACGGATAAATAATACAACGCACCATAACTTAATACACATTCCTGATCAGTGCATATTATTCTGAGAAAAAAAATTCTTAATCAAAATAAAATAACACCTATGTCTCTGATGACATCACCGGCATGTAATCATCATTATTTTAGCTAACTTGCATTCATGTCTGGCTCCATTATAGTACGTAACAAGCACTTTTCACTATCCAATCGATTCCTGGCTGATAAAATCAACCCCCTCCCCCTTTTCCTCATTGAATATCCCGTTTTACTCATAGTTCTTGTTAGCCAGATGAGCTAAAGTGGGAACTAGTTTGCAAACTTTTAAAACTCCCTTGACTTGCTCTCTCCTCTGAGTAGATTCTGTTTGTGAAAGCCCGAGGTGGGCGATTACTCTTAAGAGGATTGTGTTCGCGTAAACTTGTGTGAAAAGCGGCGTCTTTCCAGTGCAGGCAGAGAATTGTTCTAAACGGCCTCTTTTAAAACAAACACAGAGCAGCAATTCCGCTGATTTTGTGTGTGTTTACAAATTATTAGCGGACAATGAAAAAGTCCGTGCCGACTGATTTACAGTTTGAGAAAACATAAACACGATGATTGAAAGGAAACAGTTGCCTGTTTGCTTGAGTTTAAACAGAGAATGATGTTGAAAAGTCCCGCTTTATCCTCTCACAACCCCCCTGTATCTCTTGTGTGTGTGTCCCATAATACTGTATCATAAGGCATATTTTCCTCCAAACTTAAAGATTATCGCAGATGTGCACCATGAAGCTTGAGCTATTATTTCCATGCCCTTGTGTGTGACACCAACATCACCATGTTTACTCAGATTAGGGGATACAGACAGATGAGCGTGTTCATCTCTCTCATCCAGCATGTAGCTGATATTATCTTTTCATCTCTCTCTCTCTCTCTCGTTGTTGAACTGAAGATCACCCCGTTGTGCCGATATAGGCTGCACATAATCACTCCGCTAATGTCTTTTTTTTTTCATATTTTCTCTCCTGTACAAACCTTCTCCATCTGGTATCTGTTTCTGTCGTCCGTGATCTTCGGATTATTTCCAAAGCATTACAGGCCTGTCCTGATCCAGAATATACAATCTGAGAGTTTGTAATTCACAAAACTGGTCTGGGATCAGCAATTTGACCTGGTGGATATAAAAATAAAGTATCTAAACTGTTCTAAAATCTTCATAACTTACTCCCACCCATGATTATCTAGACCTATGTCAATAATATTTTAATAAATTATTTTAATAAATAAATTATGTAATTTAATCAAATTAAGTAATTTTATTTTATATTTATACACAGTATATTATTTATAATGTGTATATATTTTTCTTTAAATATTTAAAATTATTACTGTAACATTTTATGTCTCCTGAAGCCACATGAAAGCTTTTTGTGAGAGCTACAGAAGAATGGAAAATCATATTTTCAGTCCCAAAGAAAAAAGACAGTTATACGGGTTTGCGTTATGCGACATGAGGGTAAATTATGACAAATTTTTATTTTTCAGTGAACTATCCACTAACTGCTTTCAGTGCCTGTTAAACACTGTCAGATGTAGCCTAAAGCCGTTACATACTTCCAACTTTCCCTGTCACCACCTCGATCTATCCCTTAATTCTCTCTCCCTCTTCTCCCCGATGCAGGAAAACATGACCAACATATTTTTCCATGGTTTGTTTTTCCTGGTAAACCTTGACCTTTGTGCTCCATGCTACGTGCACTTTCACAAAGCATTGCTGCTGTCTTTCTGGGACGGGGCAACCGTTGCACAATCCGCAGACTATTAGATAAGGCCAGAGGATATCCTCTCCTTTACAAGCCCAGGAGAGAGAGAGAAAGAGAGAGAGGGGAGGTGAGAAATCCATTACAGAGAGCTCAAGAAAATGGAAGAGAATGTGTGAGAGACATTTGATTAAAAAAAAAAAAAAATCGTAAAAACAGTCTACCTCTAAAATGACTAATCGCAATTAATCGCAACTAATTGCGATTAAAAGTTTGTGTTTACATAATATATGTGGGTGCACTATGTATAATTATTTTGTATAAATAAATACACACATGCTTGTATATATTTAAGAAATGTTTTCATGTATATACTGTGTATAGATTTATATATAATTTATATTATATATAAATAAAAATGTTTTATATACAAATATTTTTTTTTCTTAAATATACATGCATGTGTGTGTATTTATTTATATATATCCATATATATACAAAATAATTACACAAAGTGCACCCACATATATTATGTAAACACAAACTTTTATTTTGGATACGATTAATCGCGATTAATCGTTTGACAGCCGTAGTAAACACGCATTCACGCCTGGGTTCATTTAGGGCCTGTTCACATATCGTGTCTTTTGCACGCTCAAGTTCGTTATTTAAAATGTAGGCATGCGGTATGCGTGCTCATAATGGAAGCGACTCGCTCGTTTTTTTTCCAAGCGAATGTGAATCCGCGCCGCATCACGATAAAAACATCTTAACTTTTCAGAATGCCGCAAGCGCACCATAAGCTCACAGTAGGTCACGTGACAAGAACCAAGCACAATCGCCCTAGCGCTTTGGAAAAACGAGAATGTGGCGCGCCCAGCGTTTTCTACGCGTTTTTAGGCGCTATATGTGAATTCGCCCTTTTGTAGGTAATGCACACTTTTCACTATATAATCACTCAATGCCAGAATATCCTGTTTTACTCATTTTGTGATTTCTTAATACACATTCTTGATCAGTGCCTATTATTATGAGAAAAAACACTTAGTAATTCTTTATAAAAAAAAATAACATGCTCCAAGTCATGTCAAGTCACCTTTATTTCTATAGCACTATACAATACAGACTGTTCCAATGAGGCAAACAGAATTCAATTCTGCAGCTCAAAAAGACAACAGTCAGCAGTCATTGTTTAGGTGAAATCAACTTTGTGTAGATTCAATTCGGTTCAATAACTGTGTAAACTTTAGCAATTATGAAATGTGTTCAATTTAGCAATAAAGCAGCTCTGGAGAAAAAAAAGTCATGCAGCTCAGGATGTGAAATGACATCAAGGCCATCCGTGCTATTAGGTCATGTAAACAAATAGCAATATATCCCTTAAGTTTAATAGTATTGCTTTATCTAACTCGCATTCACATCTGGCTCCATTCTGAAATGTAGTGAGCACTTTACCCCTATCCAATCAAATCCTTATACTTATAAAATCCTGCTTTACTCATTCTTGATTTCTTAGTCACATTCCTGATCAGTGCTGTCTATTCTCAGGGGGAAAAAAAAAAATACTTTTCATAATTCTTAATCAAAATTATATAAGTCATGCCTCTTTCTCTATAACTTTCCGTCTCTGATGACATCTCTGATGGCCCATGCGTTCAATTAGATAAGCAAATGGTCATTTAGAAATTAACTCACAATCATGTCTGGCTTCACCTCCCTTTTTTTTTTTTTTAAATCACATTTTACAGAAGTAAATGGGTAAAGAAACTAAAAGTTCATTAAAATGTTGTGGGATAGTGACCAAATCACCTAAAATCTTGATGTTGAATAAAAAAAAGTTTGTTTTTGTCAGTTACCCTGATACAGTATAGGTTTGCTTCTCTTGTGGCCCAGTGTAGTTCCACTCGGCGCTCTTGTTGCTGCGCTGGAGGCTCGTTGAGGTCTCGGCGCTGCTGTGAAAGGCGAACCCTGGCCCCTCCCTACATGTGTGTGTGTGCGCCGCTAAAGTGGACACAGCTGGGAGTGATTATCCATGTTGAGATATAGAAGCCCTGCCCCTTCCCTCGCCCCTGCCTCCCTATACGAGGCACTCATGGAAATGCCCTCAGTGAACTCCGGGTGCATATGCTCCCTATACTGGAATTCTAGTGACGAAGGCTTCTTCGTTCGTTCACTCTCTCTCCCTCCTCAGCTACATTGCGTCATCCCTCCGTTTTCCAAGTAATGGTGCGCCTCACTTCTACCCTGTGTTATTGTTGTTTCACAGTATGTACAGCTGTGTGGAAACTTTTACTTTTTGCCTTTCTCGCTCTCGACCCTGTAGCGCACTGTCCTCATAGCTTTGTCGTTTTGTAATCTACCTTGACTTCCTGCCACATGCCCTCTAACATACGTCGTCTCTCTTTCTGATACCTCCCTGAACAAACTCTATCTCACTTCTTCACAATCTCAGGGGCATCTGTGCAGGAATGCTCTCCGGGTCTGCAGTCTTTTAGCTCATGTCAGCACTTTCTCTTGCAATGAGCCATAGATATTACCCCTCCCTCTGTCCCTCTCTCTCTCTCTCTCTCTCTCTCTCTCTCTCTGTTTTTATTATATATTATATATTATTCTGCCCGTCCACATGCTATATGTCTCCTCATCCAGCCAGTCAAGACTAAACTCATTTCTATTGTTGGTTTTATAGCTCGCCAGCCACCGAGCAGAGGAAGTTGTTTAATAGCTAACATAACTTCCACTCAAGTTTCGTCTTGTCACCCCCCTCTATACATATATATATATATATATATATATATATATAAAGAATCTGGAGATGTCTTGTATTTAATACAACTTTTAAGATTCTTATGTTTTGCATTAATTTACATAATGTGAATTGAGAGTCCTATGCAGAGTTCCTGTTGGTGTCATATATATATATATATATATATATATATATGTTTATCATCTAAAATGTGCTGCGACTTACAACCGAACACATTTCCCATGTTTAAAATAAATGTTGTTTATAAGGAATACCTTAAATTTTTCATTCTTGTTCTGTTCTGAATACTATTAACCTTAAAGGATTTGTTGTGGAGCGAGGGGAAATAAAATATTTGTTTGTCATTTTTTTATTTTTGTAATCCTTTTCACTTTATGTACCGCTATTTTACATTAGTTTCACTTATAGTCAGGGGCGACTTATATACATCTTATATATATATATATATATATATATATATACATATATACATATATATATATATACATATATATCCTTTGTATACATAGACATATATATATTTTTGGGGGTTTTTTTTTGGGGGGGGGGTATATATTTGCACATTAAAATCTTTTGCAATGTAGTTAGTTCTAATCTTGTGCATACTGTAAGTAGAGCATTGTAAGATTGTGCATAACTTGTGAAGATTAACCTTGCCATATCAGCAGTTTTTGATGGTATGTGAGAGCAGGTCATTATGGGATATGCAGTCCACACTTGACTGCATGTTTTGATTGTGTGGTGTTGAATGGTATGAAATTCAGGGTCATCTGGTTGTCTGTGGTTGAATCTGAGGCTGATATGGGTTCCTCCAGAAGAACAGCAGCCCGCAGGATGTGTGGCAGGTCCTGGCTCAGGCGTAGTCAGCACAATGAACACAGTAATTGTGGTCTGTCTGCTGAAAGAACTTCTGTCAGCCGCACAAAGAATGTGTTTGACTGCGATTCAACCACATATCATACGTAAACACATACAAGGTCATATAATGGTAACTTCTTGGGCATCCTATGCATTTCCCTGTTTATGTGTGTGTGCTGCATCGCACTGTGCCTCAGCCCCACTGTACTGCAGACACTCATGGGACCAGATCCAGATGTGCTCTACCCTCAGTGTCACTCTAAACACTCCCTATTCCCTTTCTCCACTGGGACTGTGTGTGTGTGTGTGTTTTACTGACAATAAGACTGTCTTTTGTGTAATGTATCATGTTCATTCTGATAACAATTTTTTTCTTCTCTTTTATTTTGTCTCCTAGGGCACCTTGGCTTCCAGGACAGTTTCGTTACATCAGGTGTCTTCACCGTCTCCGAGCTTGTGCGAGTCTCACAGAGTAAGATCTCTATAAAAAAATCTTTTTTGTCTTATTTTTCAGTTAAAATGTCTGAAAGTCCTTAAAACAAGATACATTTACTTAAAAAGCAACATTGAAAAGATATGATTTCACACAATATGTTTGTATTAGCAAAGATTTGTTTTCTTTTACCTATAATCAAAGTTAAAAAGATAAAATATGTGTCAGCGAAGTTTAAAAAAATCCATAAAAATACAGTTAATAAATATAATGACTTGAATACATCCCTTTTATGATTGTTTTTAAATTCAGATTTACAATCATTTTGAAGAAAAAGCATTTTAGTTGATGTCTTGTGACGCTTGTCTATAGTCTATTATATTTATAAATTAATAATTCATGATATTTATCATCAAACAGATACATAAAATACATGTGTTGCTTCTCATATAAATGTATATCCTGGTATTCTAATTGCGAAACAAGTTTATAAGAACTCCTTAAAAGTCATTTTTATGACATTTTTATAGTCATTTCCTTAAAAGTCATTTTAGTTATAATTTCACTTCATTTTCACAGCATTAAAATCAATTGATTGAGTTTTCATTTACTGTAGAACCTAAAAACATGTCAAGTTTAGTTTATTAGAAATGTTGTGTAGGGGTCACAACCTTTAGCCTGGCATTTTTTAGGGAAGTGAGGTTTTGTTTCACCTGTACATGAGGCCAGCCGCAGATTAAAACCACAACATCTGAAGCACCCTTGTTCAAACACCTTAAATCCAGCCCAAAAGGTAGGATGAGGCTGGTGATTAACCAGTGTGCTGGAAGAAAGCTTCTCCAGTTTCTCAATGCTGTTTTCTGAACAATGGGCTGAATCCACTGTCCCTCCACTCATTAGAAATCGAAACACCAGAGAAATGCAGCAGTCAGCTGAAAGTGCTTCAATGCAGTGCGGTTCAACAGTACTTGGACTTTCTAAAGTACAAACTAACTTTTTCTTTTGTGCAGCCTTTTTGAATGTCTCTTTTAAAGTTTAATATTCTCTTATCCGTAAATAAACTCCACACTTATGAGGATGCAGTTTTTCGGATGTTAAATATTTTTGTAAAGTGAAGACCGCTAAAAGGTAAGTATTTTTAGTGATATACAACTTGAGAAAACAATTAAGTCATTCCCAGATTGATAAAGCGATTAAGACAGGAATGTAGAAGAACAAAAGCAGGCTTTCCCGAGGAGGCAGGGAGCAAGGAGAGAGGATGGGAAGAGAGTAGAAAACGTGACCTTTAAAAATTGCAGACGTCCACGGTGGAGAGTGACAGAGCGCAGCGCGATCCATACGTGCCTGTCGATACCCGCTAACAATAGCCGATCCAAAGCGCCTGTCAGCACTCGCTGGAGCCTTCTGATCAAAGGTGCATTGATCACACTCCTTCGTGACCTAATCCCAGGCAAAGGAGAGAAGAAGAGGGTGTCATGGGGCCCGGGCAAAGAGCCCACCGTGGTCTCACCTCGCAGTCTGCCTTCAAAAACCCTCCAAGTGCCTGCCAACGCAAAGACAGCGTCTGGAGAGAACAAACATTTGGGTGCCACCACATTCTGGCGGTGTGACAGCAGACAGGCGGAAGGAAATGCAGGGGTCAACGCGAGTCCAGCATGCATGTGCGAGGTGGCGCAAAAGGATGTGGAGAATGATGAAGGGTATCAGGAGAGATATTAAAACTCAGCCAGTACTGTGCTGCATCAGAACTCCTGGAGTATGATGGTAACAAGATTAAGGAATATGCATAATTGATCCAGCTCTGCAGAGAGATTGGCTTTTATCCTAACATCTGTGACACACTGAGAAGAAAAGCAAATGCTGGGTGGCATATGCTGGATGTTCAATTCAAATCAAAGGGTTCTGCTCTCTTTTCCCCCCAATACTCTTTATTCACCTCTCCGCTACACAGTCCAGTGGCTTTTAGTCAGCAGGGGGTTGCCAATGTTGGCTTAAAGAGCATATTACTCTTGAGCCCCACAGGAAGAATTTTGTAAAGTGCCACTCAAAAAAATTCAACACGGGTAATGCATTCTGAGAAAATGCACCACAAAAGTTGTCAGATAGATAGATAGATAGATAGATGGATGGATGGATAGATAGATAGATAGATAGATAGATAGATAGATAGATAGATAGATAGATAGATAGATAGATAGATAGATAGATAGATAGATAGATAGATAGATAGATAGATAGATAGATAGATAGATACCAGAATGCATCACCTTTTTGAATTTCATTCAATTCTGTAATTCCCCCTTCCTGTCATTTCTATCATAATCCCAATTCAAGTTTCTGTGGGCCGTGGCCAATTCATTTCAACTCATGATTTGAAAGGAAGCCAGTTCTTCTATTCAGGATTTTACAGTGATTCACAGCAATAGTCCTCAAATCACCTCTTGAAATTCTTAAAAACTCCACCCTCTGTGAAATGGCGGGAGAGTTGACTGTCTCACCCTGCATCAAGCGCTTTCCTGCTTTAATGGGCAATACCATCTATCTAAGAAGTTCAGCAGTCAGCAAAGCCCACAGTTAGCATAAGTCCTCTAACAGGATTGCTCCCGATGGAGTGGCTGTGAATTAAAGTGCTGTATGCATGCACACTCATGACTTTGGTCGCTTCTTGCGGAAGGCTCAGAGATGATGCTGTTGATTGAAGTGAAGAGGGTAAGTGCACCAGATTGGAAGATGGGTAGAAGAGGTGTGCTGAAGTGGCGTATGAATTGCCCAGAGGAGTTCCGTCAGGGCTTCTGTGTGGGGACGTCTGGCAGATTTATTTAAGCGAATGGGGAAGGGGTTGAGTGCAGGCTCGTGCCCGTTCGGAAGATGAAAGGTCGTGATATTGAATGGACAACGGGCTGCCTTAGCTCTTCCCTGACTATACACTATGACCTTGGCTTTGTGCACCCATTACACAATTCAGTGGCAGCCCAATCGAATCTGCTTCTGTCGATCAATATCCTATTAAAGCACCACACAAAAAAGGAGAGGAAGGGAACGAGAGAGAGAAGGAGGGGCGGTCGGGAGTAGGGAGAGCGAAATGAAAGTCTCCATAAAGTTAGCCGCTACAGCTACGTTTTTTGTAAATGGAACTCCACATAATTGGCCAGTCGATACCAAGCTGGGGTAATTTCGGAGATTGGGTCCACCTTTCCATATCCTCCTCCCTCCCCCTGTTCCTCCTTCATCAGCTATTCCCTTCTACTTTCTTGAGTCTTACAGTGTCTGTGTTCTTAAACGCTCCCAGAAAGAGCCTCTATTACTTCGAGTTTGTTTTTTCCCTACAGCTGGCCTCTGTATGAAGTCAGACACTGTCACTTCACAGCTTGGCACACCGTCAAGCTCAGGTGAGCAAGAGGACTTGTATGTTAGCCAATTTTACTGTTGCTGCCGCCCACTCAGAGCCTCTCTAGAGGAGATTGCGAGGGCTACAGAAAGAGACAGGAGAATGATACAGGATTAGGATGAGGTTATTGTTATTAGTGTGCCTGCAAGAGCCTCGCAGAAATGTTGGCAAGCAACAAGGCAGTGTGGTCCAGGGGCAGGGACACCTGGAAATCCCTGGGCGAAGGCCGGGTGCTGGCACGCGCCATTAAGCCATATGACCGAACAGGGGGAGCGGATGAATTATGGAGTAGGAGAGGGGCCGCCGCGGCAAAGACACTGCCGAGCAGCACCGGTGGGGATACGCCCACCAGTCTTGTCAGCACTGTGCCAACACTGGGCCAAAGCCTGCCAGTGGGCAGTGCCATCTGCAGTGAAATACACACACAGGGATTGAATCTTATAAACGCTAGCTTGCCGCGAGTTGTCCTACATTTTCACATTAATAAAGATGGATGAGGATAAAGATGATCATTGATGTACTTTAAAAGAACTATGAACAATCCCTTTAAAGGGATACTCCACTTTTTTTTTTTTGAAAATAGGCTCATTTTACAACTCCCCCGGAGTTAAAACCATTTTCGAATCCATTCAGCCGATTTTCTGATATTTAGAAGAACATCAGTAACCAGACAGTTTCTGGTCTCATTGACTCCCATAGTATATTTTTTTCCTACTATGGAAGTCAATGAGACTAACATTTTTCTAAATATCAGAAAATCGGCTAAATGGATTCAAAAACGGTAAAACTCGACTGTTTAACTCTGGGGGAGTGGTAAAATGAGCCTATTTCCAAAAAAAGTGGAGTATCCCTTTAAGTGACATGTAGTGCACAATGGTCAATGGTCTTCGCAGGTGTCAATCTAGCAACCTGCTGATTATTAGTCCTTTTTTTCAGAGTGTTTTTAACAGCAGTAGTAATATGCTGAGTCCAGGACTACATTCTCTTCTACTTCTTAACCTCCCTCAACTGGACACCAACCTGCAGACTCCCAACAGTGAGGTTCCCGCTGCTTTCTTTCCTCATTTGATTTGATGGGAAACTATACGCTGACCGTTTAAGGTCTAGCCGCACGCGGACCTTCTTCTCCAGCCTGAGAACTCTGAACCTATGCTGTAGGTCTATAACCACACAGGAGCTGATCCAGCAGAAAACCCCACTGAAGACCTGTCAAAGCTCACCAACTTCAGATCCCATCACGCTACAGTCCTCTCGCTCAATAAAGCAATGAGGAGTAAGGCGGAGGCAAGACGGGGTGAACAGACGTCCAGGGTTTTTGAAGTTGATTGCTACTGCCTTTGTTGTCAAATGCTTCAATTTGAAAATCCGGCCTGAACAAAAGCCAATTTTTTTTCTCTTCCTCCTCCCCCTGCTCTTTACAAATGAATAGCCTCCCCAGCTTTTGTAGATGCTTTAGCGGCCAGTGTTTGGGTGGAGGGGAGGAGTATGTCTGTTTGTTGTGTGTATGTTAAGAGGGATTTTCAACTCTTGAGACAAGAGACGACACCAAAAAACCTCTGCCACGTCCAGTAGACTCGGTCACTTTGCTGTCCCGACAACAAACTTCCTGTAGCTTTCCGGCCTTTGGTCTGAAACCTTTTCTCTTTTACCATTGGTTTACCTTTCTTTCTATAAAACTTAATACATGTTTAAGTGGGTATCCATGATATATCTGTAACATATTAGAGATTGTTGGATACTGAAAATGCAAAGATTTACTCTTTTTTTTTCTGTCATCTAACAAAGGAAATCCAGAATCCTCACAAATCCTCAATCATTTGTACCATTGTGGACATCCACCAAGTGAATTTTGTCAGGTTTAGCTCACTGGTGTGGCCGATAATTTATTTATTCTTGTCCCCAATGCATAGCCAAGTGAAGCCACGCTCTGCACTGCCATTCCTCTGCACTAAGTAAATAGAATAGATTGAAACATTTTGCTAATGTACTTTCCGCCCAGCAACTTGAAAGGTAAAGCAGTAAAGATCAGAGAGAGAGAGAACAGAAGGGAAGGCAGAGAAGAGAGAGAGATCAATGCCGGCCTGATAGCCACAGGCTTCATTTGGAATCCTCCAAGCGAAAGCACTTGATAAAGCCTTTAAGAGGTAGAGACTGCGGATTACCTTTATGATTGATTTCCATTCCAGTCAGACAGACTGCAGTGTGGTCATTTTTCTACCCAAACTGCAGCAGCAGGGCCGGCCGCTCTCGGCGCGAGGGTGCGTTTGTGTGTGTGTGTGCGTTAAGGGCCGGCTGAGTTACTGCAGCCCAGTGCCCAGGTTAGCTCTCACACAAATTACTTCACATCCTACTATTAGCCATGCAAATGCAGCCGGCTTTACTGCTCATCATAAATAATCTGAGCCACCACTTCTATTAGAGCGAAGGACCGCCCACCCCCCTTCCAAAAAAAAAAAAGTTAACATAAAGAGATGACTCAGAAATTATAGCACTTCCTTTCTCACTTCCTACGTATCCAACTTTTAGCTTGTTGGCTAGTGCACCGGCTCTCTCTCCCTCCCTTGGTCCAACTTGCCCCTTAAGCTGTGTCCTCTTCCAATGTTAATTAGGCGGCCCATTACCGTGTCTATCACAGTCTTCCACGCTGTCGCCCCCCACCCCACCAATCCACTCACCTCACACACACACATATACATAGATCTCTCTCTCTACGCCTGGGCCCGGCCTATTAGGTATGCAGGACCAGGGCCGCTCTCTTACACATTCGTGCTGTCCTCATCAAAAAATAGTGGTCTCAGTCACCATGAATATAAAGAGGCATCACGGCTTTATGTACTGTATGACAAAGGCGTTTGATAGAGCGCTGCTCACCGATGACCTACAGAAAGGGGCACAAGATATTTTGCAGCTGTAGCGACTTGTTCTGGGAGGAATGTTTTGTAACTAGTACTAGTTAAATAATGTGAGTAAAGGTGTGTTAACTGTCTATCCATCTATCGTTTGATTTATCTGTTGTCCTATCGTTTTGTCTGCCTATACATATATTTATGGTACTATCCATCGTTACATCATTCTGCTGGTCGTAATTGAAATGCAAGCTTGTCATTCAGCCAAGATGGCTGCCGAATGAACCAACTTGCACCAAAAAGGACTTGATTTTTTACTTTTGACGAAGAAATGAAGATGAAAACCATCAAAATGTGGCGCTTCGGATTGTTTTTGTTCATAGTTATTGACTTTTGTTCTCTTTTTTGTGTGTGTGTGTGTGACAGCGCCCATTGCAGCAGGGACAGGGCCCAACTTCTCGTTGGCAGACTTGGACAGCTCTTCCTACTACAGTATGAGCCCTGGGGCCATGAGGCGCCCCCTACCCAGCACTTCTTCTAGCAGGTACACACTCAAAAGACACGCACACACGCTCACTCCTTCACTCTGAGTCTTAATTAATCAGCCGAGGCAGAGATTGATGTGTTGGCTGAGCGTTCGAAGAGGCTGCAGGAGTCTGAGCTACACAAGCTTCCAGCATATGTGTGTCCACCTGGAACTTTCTCCCCCCACCACCCGCTTAGCCTACAGGCCAGTCACGCACACACACACACTGGTCCCCAATGTAAAACCGTACTACGTGGCACCCCCGCACACGGGATGTGTAGACAGATGCGTGCTGTGTTTGCACAGCTGAAATGCAGCGTATAAACGGTCACTGTGATTTCACTTATGGGCAAATTTCACTGTCACTTTAACATAACGCAGCATACCTAAAATCAACACAAACGTACAAACATGCACATTTGAAAATACAACAACCATTATGTGTATGTTCATTTTAGCCATCTCCATCAAGTACATTTGTTGAAAATCACAGAATGCACTCGGCAGTAAGTGGACGTTACAGTGTTTTTGGGCATCACAAGTGCCTTTGATGCACAAAAATGTAGTTTAGTGCACTAACTTGCAGGCTTTTGAGCCCATGTGTGTGTGTACGTGTGTGCGTCTGCCCACATGCTTCAGTGGCCTCTTCAGCCAGGCCTGCCAAAGCAAACATCTGGAATAAGGACCCTGTGTGTGGCTGCATGCTAGAAACTAATTAAGCGATTATGAGTGAAAAACACCAGTAGGCCTTACATTAACAAATAAATGTCAGAGCTCAACTTACAGCAGATAACTCACACACACATGACCACCAGCCTCCAGTGATTCTCACTTCTTGTGTATGTGTGAGAATAAGCTTGCACATATGCCTCTCTGGCCTGAATAAATATAGTCTATCTATACTGATTATATCTATTCTCAGTGAAATTCAATCTTTTATTGAAATATAATTCCTTCCTTCACCTCAAATAACCTTTCTGCTGGGAACAGAGCTGTATATATAGTGTTTAGACATATGAATGTATGAAAATATCTTTAAATAAATAAATCATTAATTTTTTTTTAATATATTTTATATATTCATTCGTTCATAATTTATTAATCAATACATTTAAAATCTAAAAAATATTTCTATTTGATATGCTTTATTTATTTAGATTATTTTATATTTATTGATGTGTTCATTTATTCTCCTTGTTTTTATATAATTTTATTTATTTGAAAAAAAAATTACATATTGATCTTTTTAATAAAATACGTGTTATTTACAGCATAGTGTGGGCGAGGTAAAAACCATATAAATAAATAATATCATAACACTTTCTAATAAGTAAAATCAAGCCCCGGCCCAAAAATACATCACATTGAGACATTTAATGCTTTCTGAATGATTTTTAATGTTGTCTATATCAGAATGAATATTTGATTTTATTCATCCACTCTCTTGTCTTGTCTCATTTTTTTTTTGTCGCACAGTTCTGCAAAGCGTATCAAATGCATGGAGGATGAGGTGGACAGTCCAGGAGAAGAGTCCTACTACCCAGGTCAGGGACGCTCGCCTGGCAGCGGCAGCCAAGCCAGCAGCTGGCATGAAGTGGAGCCAGGTAACCATCCACCCTGAAAGCCAGCCTAACACACACACACATATTCACACTCTCACACTGTGGGGTTGCGGGTTGAGAGCGAGCGATCGTGTGTGTGTGTGTGTGTGTGTTTTTGCATCCTGTGGGGTGTGCTGGTTGTGGGACGGCAACAGCTGTGTGGGGATTATTTCTGTTCTTCTTCTTCTTCTTCTTCTTTTTTTGTGGGGGAGGGGTTTCAGCATCTCTGATCCGTCTCTCTGGGTATGACATTTCGGAGATGGCACCCTAAAACTCAAATGCACCTTATTTGTTTTTCTGTTTTAAAGATTTCCAGCGTCAGTCCATCTCAGAAGTTAACCATAGATGGCTTGTAGATGCAGACTCATTTAACTTCATACCCATGTGCCTACTAATAATGCTAACAAGGGTCCCGCAAGACAGCGTTTGTGTGTGGGGTTGAATGTTGAGCGCTGATTCATCTTGGGCCACGTGTGTGTGTCCTTTGAACTCACTGCCACAGAGCAGAGGACTGTAAATCTGTCCTGCTCCAAAGCGTCTTCAATCAAGTCTTGCTCGCCCTCCACATTAGAAATAGACACCGCATAGTGGACAGAGATAGAGCGAAAACATGCGTCACATATTATAGCCAGGTCGGGACAGAGCTAAAGCAGAGTATTAGAGGGCATGGTCGTTATTAAGAGAATCATTTCTGATTCTGATTCCAATTCCACGTAAAGATTCTTGTTTATAAATGATTCATTTATTGATTTTTTTTTTTTTTTTTGCTACGTTTGCAATACTAGTTCTCGAGCCGAACACGACGAACGTAATGACTTATGATTCTCTGGGTCAAAAGGTAATTTGTTAGTTATATACACTGATTTAAACTGAGGAAGTTTTTCAAATTTTCCATAGAGGAAATCTGGTAAATCATAGCAATAGTATGAAATTATATAGTATAGAATTTTTTTATTTATTTAATAAATATATTATGACACAAATAAAATGCATAATAAATTATATAAAATATAATACAAATCTTAAAATAATATTATTATATTTTATGCTACTTATTTTTTATTATATTTTATATTAATAATATATTCACGTATTTAAAGTATAACTTGATGATTTTTTTTTTTAAATATATAAATAATAATTAAGCTCATCTTTAGCTTCTACACACATAGCTCAAAGATCAATTCACGACATTAATGAGGATGTTTGGGACTGTCATATTACATAACATTATAATGAGAACACCATTGTAATAAAACATAGTGAATTCTTTGGGTTTAGTTCCCCTGTAGACGTATTTTGTATAAGAATACAGTAAGATCCAGAGAAGGAAACCATGTGTGTGTGTGTGTGTGTGTGGCTGTGTGGCAGGTTCTGGACGCATCATATCTGACATGAATGGTTGAACTGCTAAGGTATTGCACATTTGCTTCTACACCTCTTATTCACCCTGCCTTTTTTTGTTCTTTTGTCCCTCCTTGTTTCTTTCTCCTCCTTCCTTGTCTTTCAAAGCTGGATATAAACTGCGTGGCTCGCTAGCTAGTTCGTTCATCTCAAGACAAGGTAAAACTACATCAATGTTGTCACCCTTCCACACCTCACCTTCCTTCCCCACCAAAAAAAAGGAGCTCGTCCATTGTGCCGTCTAGTTTTGTCGTTGTCGTCGTTGTCGTTGTTGTTTCGTACCTGATTTATTTATTTTTTTGGTGTTGTTCTATTCAGATGACCCCCCCACCCCACCAGCTTTCCCCCTCACGGCCATATCTACTGCAAAAAAAAGGAACAGAAAAAACCTGAAGAATGTTTTAATCCCCTTGAAATGACATGCACCCCCTGCCCTGCCTCATGATATACCTATGATTTGTATTTGTGCATGATGTCATCCACATCCATAAATGGTGCATCTGGAAATGATTGCGTTAAAGTGACGTGTCTTTGTGTTTTTGAGGACGCGATGTCTGAAGAAGTTATTATATTAGGGATGTGCAAAAGTATGTATTTTCAAAACTAGTCGGGCGGAAGTCTATTTTTGATATTATATATTAAAAATATAATATATTTTTTTCTGTGCTGACTGTCTAGTACTATAAAACTTACTATAAAAGCCATCCTCATTAAACCAGTTAGGCTGTGTATTTAAGCTGAAAAAAAACTAGATTAACTCACTCAAGTCAACATATTGGACGTTTAGTTGACTAGTCCACTTTTCTGACACATCCCTAACATATTTGAATGTGAAATAAGGTGACACAAATGGGGAATATGGAGGGGTGCTATTGATTTAGAGCTGTGTCTGACTATTAAGTGCCTTTCACAGTTGCTTCTGCACCAAGCAAGTGAGAGTCTGTTCCAATGTGTGTTTGCTCGAATGTGAGAGGGAATGTGTGAGTAAACTAAGAGGGTGAGAGAAAAAGTGAGTGTGATTTGACCTCCGGATCACTCGCTCGTCCATGACAGGATCGCATTTCTCGTCCAATCAGCCGCTTGCATCCATTTTTCAGCCGTGGTGTCAAACATCAAAAAGACTGTGACATCTTGAGCTCTTGTTATGCCTGCCATCTGTTTGATTTGTATTCCTTTCCATGAATTTACACTGAGTGTGTCGGTTGTGTGTTTGTGTTTATGTATGTGTGTGTGGGCCTCTCCTATCTTTATTTGATAGCGGAGAACTTCGCTATGTGTTTAAAATTAGCCAGCCTTTCGAAAGTATGTCCGCGGCAGCAGCATGCTTGTCATTGCTCAGGTAGCGGGTGTCAGGTGATAGGGCGGCGTAGAGACCACGGGGTGACGTCTACCCGTTCTTCTCGTGTCACTGCTGTCATAGTCCTTGCCACCTACTCAAAAACTAAAACAAAAAAATTAAAAAAAGATTTTACACTCAATTTTAACATTTAACATCCAATAAATACTTTAATAAAAACATTTTTAATGATATAAAAAAGTTTATATAATTTAAATAAATAATTGATATATTTTTTGGCGCTGAAAATGATTAAAGTAGTATCAAATGTGTATTTAATTAAATGAAAAGCTATATATATATATATATATTAATGTTATACTAAAAATTTTATAATGTGACGATACCAACATTTCCCTTTTGCATTTTGAGCACACACTCAACATATATGTCTCTGATTGGCTGTTGTATTCACACACTCAACATATATGTCTGTGATTGGCTACAATGATCAGCGCTTCAAAAACTTGTTGTAAATAGACATCTTTGATGCTCTTCACTGAGTTACATGAAAAAATATATAGATATTAAATATTAATTTAATGTAAAGATACACACGGGAGCATTTGAAAGCAGGCATCTATACCCGTCTGTATCTGTATATTAAATTAATATTTAATGATCTGTATATTTTTTATAGTAGCTATATATATGAAGAGTTCAGATGCAAAAGCCTCTAAGTGCCATTTGAAATTTTTTTCTAGAATGATCATTTTTATCAAGCTTGTATATTTAAGTTCAGTGATTTCACTTAAATGGCAATGATAATTACCTATTAATTGTTATTTAAGTGAAATTACTGAACTTAAATATACAAGTTTGATAAAAATCATCATTAAAGAAGAAAATTTCAAATGGCATTTAGAGGCTTTTGCATCTGAACTCTTCATATATATATATATATATATTAAAATGTTTTAATTAAATATATATTTATTAAACATTTATTAGATATTACATATTACATAACTTTTTTTTAAAAAGTAAAAATTATATTATATATTCAATTTGATAAATAAATTAAACTTAATAATACATTATTTAAAAACTATATTACATGACTAGTTTGGGCAGATACACTGCCGACTGCAGTCGGGCCAGGTCTGATTGATGTGCCGGAGGGGACGGTGAGCGGTACAAGACGAGAGCGATGGAGAGCAGCAAAGAGACGCACTAGATACAGAATTGCCTCCTCGCCCGTCTGGGTTCTGTCAATTTGTCAGCCGGGAGGAAGGGAGAAAGGCAGGGAAGAGGAGAATCGGGCCAGGACCGGTACCAGCGTGTAATAACGCCTCGGAAGGGAAAGTGCTGACTACAGCTGGGCTTTGATTCCAACTGACAGAACCTTTTCAAGTGTTCATTACTCACTCCGAGACATCAGGCCCAGTCCACCGCAAGCACAGACACTTACACACACACAATCAAAGAGAACTGTCCGCCAACCCACAGGTTTCATTCTGTTTTCTCTTCGGACTTCCCCACTCTACAGGCACCAAAATATCCCCTTAAGAACTTTGCCAGGGCCCAATCGAAGAACACAGCTTCCAACATGCTGTGTAGCTGATCCAAATGTGGTCCAGTAGCTGATGGTCCTGCTAAACCATGTTGTTCAGGCTAGTTAGATTTGGTAAACCAGCAATAAACCAGCTTCTAGGGCTATTATCGTAATTGAAACGCTGAAAACATGAATCATACATGTTCCTTTTTCCAAAACATGTTGCCAGCAACACGTCATCTCTAACAGTTCTTGCACGACAAGCTACCTGCTGATGATGCTGAATTTAGCGTTAAACATCTCAAACCACACGGCCCTTTTCCCAAAACCTCGCTCTTCAGCAAAGTATGGTATAATTGAGTATAATGCCAGTGACATTACAATGACAGATGCAGTAGGAGAGCATCAACATGTCATCAAATGCAATGCTAACAAAATGGCATTCTCGCACAACAAGCTAACTGCTAATGAAGTCGGATTTGGTGCTAAACTTGTATAGTTCGCTTCAACTGCTCTGTGAACATGCAACACGATTGACAGAAAATCAAAACGACTTTGGATAAGCGAAATATAGATTAGTCAGTAATAAGATATCCAAAGTGTTGATGTAATTAAGAAGAAGAAATAGCATTAGCAATAGCATCAGATTCCTTGGTGTGGCCTGTGAAAGTGTCTGCTTGTATATATGTGTGATTCACATCCTTTTATCCATCGCTCCATTCCCTTTTCCACCACTTTCTGTATGTTTATTCTATCAACGTCTCTTTGGTCTGGTGAGTTGTGTTTTGGTTACATTGGGCTTCACATACATTTGAAGAGTCTGTCCCGATGACTCTGTATGTTTCCACTCCGCTCTGTCTTCCACCGCTGTCAGCGTACTCATTGAAATTGATCTTTTGAAGCGTTCTGCACTGAATGTGTGAGTGTGAGGAGAAAATGAGAACAGCTGAATGGGGAATTTTGTATGTGTTTGATGAATGAAGACTGGAAAATATCGGTAAGCTCTGCTAAATGTGCTTGATGGCTTCCTTTAAATCTTTTACCATATTCGTATTCAAGTCGCGATCATCTCTTCCTGGTTTCATTGACCTCTTAGATGACCTTTCCATGACCTCAAGTGTCCCATTTAAGTTTGAAAGGGGTTTAAGCCCATCACTAACGTATCATTGATGTTGGGAGAGATGCTTTCTTTCTTTCCATCTTGTGTTCTCTCTCTTTCTTGTGCCTGAAAGGGGGAGGAGTCTGCGAGGGCTGGAGAAACCAAGGATGACTTCTCATCACTTACATACTCACAGAAATGCACCAAAACACTTACACCTGCACATTTTATCTAAAAACAAGTCAAAAATCAGAAAACGACAACATATCGCGGCAATACACCTTGATCTGTGTGTTTATAAATGATGTTATTAATATGAATATTATTTATTGCACTCTAAATATTAGTATTTAGTGATATTAATACTAATATACATATTTGGGATAATCTGTGATGCAGTATTTAACAGTTTTAATATTTATTATTATTGCTCATATTAATAACAATAATAGTAAAATCGCATAGCAGAACATGCCAAATACAAATATAGTATTGATGATATTAGTAATAATTGGTTTTGAACGTCTCTTCCACAAATCTTGTTTTTTTTTTTTATTAATCTTTCACATTTAATTTTTTATATATATATTTTAATTTAAAAAGTGTAAGTGTAAATCTTGTGGCCGCTACTAGCAAGTGAATCAGCACTTAAGATTACAAATTTGAACCTCTTAAAAATGTCTTAACTTAAAAATGTAAATGCCTGTAGCCTGCCCCTTTGCGGCATCAAATACACTGCATAAACAAATGGTATATACGTAAAATCACTCTAGATAGACTAATGTAACCATAATTGGCTTATAACAGGTCTCTGTATTGGGTTGTATCTGAGGGGGCGTCCAGTGCTGTGATGTAACGAGAACAAGTGGACAGCGCAAAGGGCTGCTGGCTAAAAACATTAATACAACTTAAACCACACATGATTGAATTGCACTAGTTAAAGTCATTTGCTAGCGTCTAGATGAACTTGTTCCTCTGGGGGATGGGGGGGGGGGGGGTGGACAGCTCTCGAGGAAAAATAAGACATAAGACCAGCGCTTATATTCTGTCCCAGTGCAGAAGAATGGACTAAACACTTTGACTGGGTGACAAATGGGCCAGCGGTGCCTCCTAATTGCCCCTTCTATTTGCAGTTCATTCTTATCAATTTGCATTTCTAACCTCAAGTGGCTATCGGCCATGGGTTTCCCTCACGTCTGTCTATTTTTACCCCAAAGCGAGAGGTAGAGTGAAGCGATGCAGTATGGGAGCGCTAATGCCGGAGGGAGGAGTTGAACTAACGTGGCTGAGCATGCATTAACAGACTTCAGTCATTCTCAGTTAGCTCATGTTAGCCTGTGCGTCTGAACTGTTGCTCGCATTAACCCCTGCCAAAGCAAGGCTGCCTGCCAGACTGTGAATGTGAATGCTGTGTGCTTTGCATCCTTAACTCCTTTTCCCTCCGTGTCTGTTCAGCTTTCTCTTTCTTTTTTTCCACCACATCCTGTTTTCACATCCCACTAGCCCTTGGGTAAGATGCATAAGATACTTTAAATACGGCCTTTTTGATTTCGCGTTTCAGGCGCCATTTTTACCATTAACAACTAACCTCACAGTCATTGTATATCAGGAATCCCTCACCGGAACCCAACTTGACCCAACTGTTTAGTAATTGGGAGATGGGAAAAACTATTCCTCTTAAAGAAATATTATGGGTTCAAAGCTACGGCCAGCTACGCAGCCCTTAAGGGCACATGGTGATAAAAAAGAAGATGGCTGGGGAAGATTTAATGAAAAAGTTTTGCATACTACTGAAAAACTTTGCACTCACTCGCAAAACATTAGTGTTCTCTCGCAAAAGTACTGCGTTCCCCTTAGAAACTTTTCATTCACTTACAGAAGCATTGAAATATGTTTTTTTTTTATTGTTATGGTTTCTGGGAAGAACACAATTAGATTTGTGATTTGCGAGCGCAAAATTTCTCAGGGGAACACAAAAGTTTTGCAACTACGTAAAAGCAATGTTTTTTAGGCAAAAATAAGGGGGGGCAAGTTTCTTAGTGAAAACAAAAGTTTTGTGTGGAAACGTAAAGTTTCTTGGGGAAACCAAAAGTTTTGTCAACAAACGTAAAGTTTATCGTGAATGCAAAAGTTTTGTGAGGAAACGTAAAGTTTTTTGGGTAAAGCAACTTTGTCAACAAACGTAAAGTCTATTAGGAACGCAAATGTTTTGTGAGCAAACGTAAAGTTTATCGGGAAGGCAAACGTTTTGTGAGCAAATGTAAAGTCTATTAGGAGCGTAAAAGTTTTGTGAGCAAACTTTACATTTATCGGGAACACAAATGTTTTGTGAGCAAACGTAAAGTTTATTGAGAAGCCATAAGTTTTGTGAGCAAATGTAAATTCTATTAGGAGCGTAAAAGTTTTGTGAGCGAACTTTACATTTATCGGGAACGCAAATGTTTTGTGAGCAAACGTAAAGTTTATCAGGAAGCCATAAGTTTTGTGAGCAGATGTAAAGTCTATTAGGAGCGTAAAAGTTTTGTGAGCAAACGTTAAGTTTATCTGGTATGCAAACGCTTTGTGAGGAAACGTAAAGTTTCATGGGGAAAGCAAAAGTTTTGTGAGCAAACGTAAAGTCTATTAGGAGCGTAAACGTTTTGTGACCAAACGTTAAGTTTATCAGGAACGCAAATGTTTTGTGAGCAAACTTTACGTTTATCTTGAACGCAAATGTTTTGTGAGCAAACGTAAAGTTTAATGGGGAATACAAATGTTTTGTGAGCAAATGTTCCTTGGGGAATACAAAACTTTCTCAGGGGATCCCAAACATTTAGCTAAAGAATACAAAAGTTTTGAGAGACAACACATTATAATACAATTATATTATAATATTCTCCCCATCACCATGTCCCTTTAGGGGCTCCACACTCCATACATTTTTATTGTGAGAAAGTTTACAAGGTCATGCCTAGTGGTCATGCCAGTTGGACATTTTACAGTCAATACATCAAGGCGCTACATAAATTCACGTGACCTTGCGTTGTACTGGGACAGATTCACAGTTCGGCCCCATGTAGTGTATCCTGTGCCACACCCCGTTGGGCCTCTCAGTCTCCCCTGCTGTCTTGATCCTCATCCACTCACCCAAAAAAACCCACCCCACCCCTCCTATCCACTTTCTTTCCTTTGCGTCACCCTGTATCTCCATGACCTTGCGTTATTAAACTGCACTTATCAATCATTCTTGCCAGGAATGCCATCGCCTACCACATTAAAGAAGTCAGAGAAGTCTGGTTTCATCAGCCATGTGCCTTCGCAGACCGCTTCCCCCCGAACGGCATTCACACACCATCATCGACCTGTCATTACAGGACCCAGAGGTGAGGTCCCAACACCCCACCCTCTTCAAACTGCACCACTCTTCTTCCCCAAGCCCCTAATCCCAGCCAGCAGGACCCCCACAATCCTTCAAATCCCCGTTTCCTTCACACCCCATAGTGGCCGCTTGTAAAATCAGAATCTGAACAGAGTAGGGGCGTTCTCACTGACAGAGATTTGTAGTATCGAAGCATCTGAACGTCATTTTTAATTTCAATGAAAGTTGGAGATGCAATCACTTTAAGTACAGTATAACTTCATGGAAATTGTTTTATACAATTCCCATTCGCAAACTCTCCATTCAGTTTGATTCAGATTCAATTCCGATTCATTTGGATATATTATGGTTACAATGTCGATCAGCTAATGCTAAAGCTAAATTATACAGCAATCCTTCTAAATTGTGACGTTACAATAAATAATTAGCAACAAGGCCGGAAACAAGCTGTTTAATTAATTCTAATTAGGAATCATATAACAAGGCAACCAAAAATAAATTCTGTGAAGCAATGGAGGCATGTTTTCTTGCCATTAATTTTGCTGTCAGTGTGAACTGGGCTTGAGGCAGTGAGTGAGTGAGTAAAAGTGAGAGAGAGTTATATATGTAGCTTGTTAAAATCGGACAGTTGTTGACAAATCCGCTAAGGGCGTAAGTGCGGTCACTTTACGAGTGCAGCTCACAGTGTGTATCACCTCGTCCGGCTGCTTGATTTACATGCGTTTAATGTAAACACTTAACCGGATCTCTGAGTGTGACTTACACACGGGTTGGTTTTCTCAGCGAACGAGGCTTTATCAGAGCGTGGCCTGGATCAGGTTATCACGACTGTATTGTCACTGGCTGTGAATGGTTTTGTCAGAGATAAGGACAGTTTTTAATCAAAACCAAAAGCGGCTACGTGTTGCCGTCTTTGCTTGGTTGTGAGTTAAAGTAAGGAAAATACTGTTGAATCTTACGACCTGTTGGCTGGTTTATAGTTTTCCATCGCTTGTTCAAAACGCTTTGTTTTGTACCTCGAGGCAAAAGTCAGGGTTTGTGTGTAAATTTACCAGTTTTTTTTTCTTTTTCTCTATCATTAGTATTCTTTATTTGCTGGATATAAAGCCAAACGGCTCACGGCTGAGCCAAAGGGCCAGTTTCCAGCATGAATTACTTTGAATATGTTGAAGTATTAACCACAACTTAATTTGTGAGGCTATTAGTATTAAATCACGCTTGGAAGTGGTATCGCTGTCATGTGAATATTTTATGTCCACATGGACGCAAGGCGCGAAATTGATCGCGATTTAATATGCATATGCGGCGAGGCTTGTCGCCCCTTTAAGAGTACTTCTTAAAAGCTAAATCCATGAATCTATGATTGATTTAAAGTGCCTCCCTCTCTTTCAAGACGTTAGTCAAACCCGGTTTATGTGGTTAGGTGGGGCGGCCGGAAAACTTCTTTTTCTAAAACCATTAAAGAATATTTAAAACCGCCCAAATCTGTCCTCCCTTTCAATTGACCATGCGACTACGCAACACTTGCTCTTTCTTCCTTTTCGGTGTTATTCAGACTGGGTGAAGTGGGAACCTGTTGCCTATTGCATAAATAAAGCCTTTTATTATCACCTTAGTTATTATTTTGATAATCCACCATTCAATGAAAGTTGGCAGCAATGGGCCGGCGATGAAAAAAGGTTGAGAAAAGCGAGAAAAAAAGATCAGTGAACCAACACGATTTGCAAAGTGGAACTAATCCAGAGCCTTTTCTATTACACGCGGGTGGCGGCACAATGGCAACAGAGGAGCCGCGCTCAACCAGCTGCTGGAGACTGCCTCCTTTTCAGCTCATCATTATCATTTCCATATTTGCTTTGGGAGGTATGTGTCCGCTGGACCCCCCTCAGATTAACTTTTAGGGCCACCCACTACCTCTGTTGCCGGCCTATGCCTCTTTTGTCACACACAGTGATAGAAATAAGGCACACAGGTACTTTTTTCCTTCAAACTTACTGCAACGAGTTTGTTAGTTCAAACTCGGAGATTAGTGACTACTAGTTGTTGTTCTTAATTCGGTTGCATATGATAAGAAGCATCCAAATTTATGTCAATTTGAACTTGTTGCAATTGATTTTCTTTTGTGTATTTAAATAAGTATATAAATATGTAAATATTAATATAAATGTAATTTAATAAATTGTCAATATATGTATTAATACAAATAGATGCATTAAAAATTAAAAATAGTAATATAAGTAATAAATAAAATTAATTGTATTTTTATTAATAAATAAATCAATAATACAAATATAAATACATAAATAATTTGAATACATAAATATATATCCAAATTTGTGATTTTTATACTGATGCGGTTGGATTTATTTTTATTAAATCATTTTCTCACATAACTGTTAACTGTAAGACATTTAATTTCTACTGAAATAAAATAATTAGTCAATTTAAATATGTAAATATTTACATAAATATAAATGTAATATTTAAATAAAAGTATACATATAAATTATCATTTTAAATATATAATGTAATATATAATACATAATATATAATGAAACAAATTCTATGTAATAAACATACAGTATGTATAATAAATAATAAAATAAATACTACTTTATATTTATTTTTTATTTGTTTTGAAACTTGAAATGCATAACTAACAATTTCGTGCTGATGAGTGTCAGTTATTCTAATAATATTCTCTCTCATAAAATGTCATCTTACTCATGATGTAATTCAGTTAGTCTACAATTTTTTTTTTAGCCATTACTCATGTTTGGAGGCTTCTGTAAATATTTAGTTTACACATAGGGTACGGTTTCAACTTAGTTTAATGGGCAACTCTCAAACATTTAGCCACAACTAGGCTAAGTTTTAACTTGAATTACACCCCAGGTTCTCTTTAACCATTAATTCATTTAATGCCATGGCGCCACGCTTGCTTGAACAACCCGCTGGTTTATAAAACACAAAGTCATTTCTAAGGATCAGACTCTTCTCCTGGGGCTCCCATGATCTCCTGGTGTCTGTAGTTAAGACATGGCTATTCTCTTTCTCACGCTTGTGTTCTGGTATTAGTCTCATCACCACCCCTCTTTCTGCACATCAGTGGGGTTTTCCACATGCGCTACATGAATATTAAGGCACAGGAGACGGTGTCTCCATTTTAGCGCAACAGGGAACGCTGAATACGGAAGAGTTGACAGCCTTGAAAGTGAATTATGTCGTCCAGCAGCCTTGACAACTCGAGACACGGTCAAACTTTGTTTACTTGCAATTTTCCGTCCAAATAACCACCATTAAATGAATAGGAACATGACATGGGAGCAAGCCATTTAAGTAATTGGCTATCGTTCCACAACACTTAGATCCTGTCAGCGAGTGAAGAAGAAAAAAGGAATTTTTTTTCTCTGCACTAATTGACTGTGCCAATTTGCATAATTAACATGGTAGGTTTCGCTGTAGCTGACGCAAGCTGGTTACCAAAACTGTAACACTGATCTACAGTTCGTTTGGCTCTAGAGAACCGACTCTGTGATGATTTAAAGTCTGAACAGGTACGTGTTTGTCCTCGTGAGGGCGAGTGATTGACGACGTTTGAAAAATGGTTTTGTTTGGCGAGGAGGAACGTCACGAAAGCGATCCAGTCTCAACATGTTGCCTCCAGATAGATGCCGCGATGCCAGTTGGATCCACTTCTTAGAATAACGGAGCAGAAACCATATGCTGCTCAAGTGTTTCATTAAGTCAGCTCTTGGATTGTAGATAGCACTTGCGCATTCAATGGAAAAGGCCGTTTAATGTAGTCTCTGGGTTATGTTGGTTTGATAGTTTCTACAGTTTTGTTTTATTGATCATCTTCTAATGAATAATATATTTTAAATGAATACTTCATTTCATTTTCATTACTTTTAGTGTTTTACTCCGATTCTAGTCAACAAAAATAACATTTTACAGTCGAAAAAATGCTTGGTGGTTTTAACCCAATTTTGGGTAAAATATGGACAAACCCAGCCATGTTATTTGTAATGTTTTACTTTTTTTTTTACTCAGAGATGTATAGTAACGAAGTAGAACTATAAGTACTGTACTTAAGTACTAAAATGCTATATCTGTACTCTACTAGAGTGTTTTTTTCTCATACTTCTACTTTTACTTCATTACATATTTTCAATGAAATTAATACTTTTACTTCGATATTTTTTTTACTCATTACTATTATAAAAAAGTACGAATCATTCGTTGCAAGTTGGCTTTCATGCTGCCTAAATCACACGCCAGTTTTATAGTGTAATGGTGTTGACTGACACACACATTGACAACTAATGCAGGGGTTGTCCTGCAATGACATTTTTTGGCGGCCGCCAAAGCAAATTTGTATCCCGCCAAAGCGCCTTATTTGATTGCTAGTTCAAACTTTCGACTGCTTTCTTTAATAATTACATGATGCACTACTTTTACTTTTAGTACTTAAGTAGTGAATTTTAAAATAAACTACTTGCAATACTTAAGTACAAAAAATGTTGAATACTTTAGTACTTCTACTTAAGTGTGGTGCTTAAAGAGCACTTCAACTTCTACTCAAGTCACTTTTTTGATAGAGCACTTTTACTCAAGTCCGGGTTTCTAGTACTTTATACGTCTCTGGTTTTAGTACCTTGGCACGAAATAAAAAACCCATCCATTGGGTTAAAAATGTCATTTAAAAATGTAATCCAATGGCTGGGTTTGTCCATATTTTACCCAAAATTGGGTTAAAACAACCCAGCATGAAACCTAATATTATCCAAATTTGTCTTCGCTTTTTTCATCTCGTCTTCGTTATCGTCAACAAAGTGAAATCTTATGGCCATTTTTATCTGTATTTGCATTGACGAGATTATCAGTGGCTATGCAACGTGACAAGCAGTTTTGTGTGTACTGGGGCTGAATGTGTGTGTTGGTTAGCATTTGTGCTAAGTACGATAGTGTCGTCCACTCAAATCCTGACTCAGCTTTGTAAAGGGTGTGTCTCAGAGGGGGTCGGTTGCTGCGGCAGCGCCTCGGGCTAATCCAATACGCCAGAGACGGTAAAGAGACAGCGAACGTGTCTTCGCATCTCCTTCATAAAAGTTTGCGTCCTACCCCCAACAGAAAGAGCGGCATCTGGAAAGGTAAGACGGAGAACGACACCAAAAGAAGGGCAGAAGAGAGAGTCGTCCATTCCATTATTACTGTAAATACAATGGCTACATCGCAGCCCCAGCGTCCAGAGTTTCCAGTCACCCTCTATTGACAGAGCCATAAATCAAGGCCTGAGCTAAGTGAATTACTGCAGCAGGGGGCTGTGGTTTTAACAATGTTTATGTAGTATCAGCTTACCATCTCTCCTGAAAGAGAGCGAGAGATTGGAGAGGGTGAGTGCGGAGTCTTATTAACTCTGCTGCGATACATCACAGGCTTAAAGACCCCGAGCTGCCGCACATCCCAGGCATTATACTAATAACCAATAACTGAATATTACCTCTATTAAGAGCCGCCTAATTAGATTGTGCCGGTTACAATTAAATACTTGATAAGGTTCGATCCATTAAAGGACTGTCAGTCCCAGAGCGCTCCGAAGGCCTGCCAGAAAGGTGCAAGAGAGCCAAGGAACGATACGTCACTGAGACGTTTTATTAGTTGCATCGGTCGTAATGATGCAAAAAGAAATCACAGAATGAGGATCTGGCGCCCTTTGGTGTCAAGTACCGCGCGCTCTGTGTGCGTTTTTCAAGTGTTGTCGACTGAACAGCTGGTTATTGCGGTGCTTTCCCTTTGTTACGAACAGGTGCATGCATTGTGTGCGAGTGTGTGCTGTCAAACCTTTTGAGTCAGGGTAGATACCACTTTAATTTGATGTGAACAACAACAAGACCGTGAGGGATTAAAGTACAGCCAGGTGTAATACGTCAAGACTGTAAATTGAAGAGGAATCCAAAAATGAAAATTCGGTTGGAATTCATGGACCCTTTTTTACAGACTGATGGAAAGTTTATCTTGCAAAGTTTTTGTATTCAAATTTTTTGTTTTATTACCGTGGCACGAAATTACAGAACATCAACGTTGCTGGATGAGTGTGAGAGAGTGATGGCAAATTTGACATCTTTCCCTTTTCTGACCAATGTATTTATCAATATTCTAAGTCATCTTTTTTTTGCTATTGAAGCAAATGGGAACGCAAATATTATATGTGTTGTTGACAGTTTCCATTCACCACTATATCAACAATGAGCACTTCCGCTTCCGAGAACTCCAGAAACGTGAAAACGGCCCATTATTTATTCATCCTAATGTCGTTGTATGACTTACTTTCCAAAGAACCCAAAAGATGTTTTTTCATCCTTGCAAGGAACGTCAATATTGTTCCAATATTGTTGATTTGGACCCCATTGACTTAGACAAAACAGTTTCAAAATATATTATTTTGTCTTCCGCCGAAGAAAGTCATACTGGTTTGGAGCGACGTAGGGTATGTAGATGTTCAACACTTTCTAGCTTCATGTCCATTTATTCTAAATCAAATATAGCATCTAAGCTTACTCCTCGTTACCTCATGAATGTGGGAAACAAGCCCACACAAAAACACGCCACCTTTGTGTGTATGTCCCCATCTGCATGAGCAATCCAACCAAGCACAAACTCACCACAATGTCCACTTCCTTTCCTCATGGAGCCCCTCTTCTCCATCCTCCTTCCTCTCCCTCGATCCTTTTTTTGACCGAGCTTTCCTCTCTCTGTCTCTTTTCCAGCGAGTCCTCACGCCACGCCGTCAAGTCTTCATTTCCCGACGTCGCCAATCATCCAGCAGCCCGGCTTCTCCCACTTCTCCCACCACGCCATCCGCTACCACCCCCAGGAGACGCTCAAGGAGTTTGTCCAACTTGTCTGCCCTGACAGTGGTCAGCAAGCTGGACAGGTGGGCTTCCTTAATGTAAGAAGGCTCATTTTCTACATACATACACTCCCACTAATTCCATGCCATGTTTTATATCCCTGTAGTCGCTTAGTTGGCTAGTCTGTCATTGTCTTGTTCGTAGTGACTTGCACCATTGTTCAGTGACACAACTTTGAAGATGTGGAAATGAGATTACGATTTAGACAGTAAAGATACGCTACTACGCAACTATGTATGCTTCTTGCTACAAATCCAAAGTTAATTTGCATAAACTGCCTTCTTCTATGGTTTTAGGTCAATTACTGGCATGGCAGGCAGTATCTCGTTAAACAAATTAACTAAAGTTAGTTAAAATGGTGATGTTTTGCCCTAGCTACTGTAATAATTACAATATTGGTCTAAATGCTAAGAATTGAAGTACTGCCTTTACTGTTAATGTGGTCCCACTTTATATTAAGTGGCTTTAAGTACTACTGTATGTACTAAGTCCATTTGATACAATGTGTACATACTTGTTTTTACATTGTACTTCTATTTTTAAAATGCCAGCATGTAATTACAGCTGTAACTAATTTATGTAATTACATCTGTAATTACACAGCTGTGTCACGTGTGGGTTTTGTTGTGTTTTATATATCACGTGATTCCTTGTTGGTCATGTGATCCTGCCATGTGTCTTGTCTTTTGTCATGTTGTTGCTCAGTGTCCACAGGTGTTTCTTATCAACCACGCCCCCTTGTTATCTTGATTGGCTTGTTTGTCTGTGTATTTAAACCCCTTTGTTTCAGTTGTTGCCTGTCGGTTGTTGTTTAATGTCACTCGGTTCCTGCCTGTTCATCTGTCCTGTTCTGAGGTCCCTGGATTATCTGTTAGTGTGATTAATAAATGCTTGCGATTGGATTCGCTTTCTGTCTCGTTCCTGACCCGATGTGACAGAACAACCGACCGCAAATGAATCCAGCAGCACAAATCCGGGAGTTTGCTGGTCAGATCGCGGCCTTGGCCCTGAATAGTTGTGATTTGTTCCAGTATACCTGGGGGTTTGTTCCTCTCGCTGCCTCCTGCTCTCTCGGTGATGAGGCTATTAAGCTGTGTTACCAGCTAGGGGCTAAGGAGGTCAACCCGAGGGAGCTCCCCAATCTCTCGGGTCTGAACTGGAGAGAGGCGATCTTCGTTTGTGAAGAGAGTTTCATTCCAAAGCTCACCGTCAGCCCTGCCAAGCCTGCGCTCACCGTCAGCCCTGCCGAGCCTGCGCTCACCGTCAGCCCTGCCGAGCCCGAGCTTTCACCGCTGGTTCCGTCCAGCTCTCCAGAGTCTGAATGCTCTTCGCCGCTGGTCCCTACCAGCTCTCCAGAGATTGAATGCTCTTCACCGCTGGTTCCGTCCAGCTCTCCAGAGTCTGAATGCTCTTCACCGCTGGTTCCGTCCAGCTCTCCAGAGTCTGAATGCTCTTCACCGCTGGTTCCGTCCAGCTCTCCAGAGACTGTATGCTCTTCACCGCTGGTTCCGTCCAGCTCGCCAGAGACTGTAGGCTCTTCACTGCTGGTTCCGTCCAGTCCTCCAGAGACTGTATGCTCTTCACTGCTGGTTCCGTCCAGCCCTCCAGAGACTGAATGCTCTTCACTGCTGGTTCCGTCCAGCTCTCCAGAGACTGTATGCTCTTCACCGCTGGTTCCGTCCAGCTCTCCAGAGACTGTATGCTCTTCACCGCTGGTTCCGTCCAGCTCGCCAGAGACTGTAGGCTCTTCACTGCTGGTTCCGTCCAGTCCTCCAGAGACTGTATGCTCTTCACTGCTGGTTCCGTCCAGCCCTCCAGAGACCGGCCAGACCGTCCGGCCAGAGACCGTCCAGACCCTCCAGCCCGAGACCATCCACTCCCCGTCTGCCCTTCACCCGGGGACTCAACCCAAATATTTTTTTGGGGGGGGCCCAGTGTCCCAGCCACGGCCGCCTGAAGGGCTCTCACCGCCGTGGCCGCCCGAAGGGCTCTCACCGCCGTGGCCGCCCGAGGGGACTTCACCGCCGTGGCCGCCCGAGGGGACTTCACCGCCGTGGCCGCCCGAGGGGACTTCACCGCCGTGGCCGCCCGAGGGGTCTTCACCGCCGTGGCCGCCCGAGGGGTCTTCACCGCCGTGGCCGCCCGAGGGGTCTTCACCGCCGTGGCCGCCCGAGGGGTCTTCACCGCCCTGGCCTTCGCCTGGTCCTGCTCCGCCCTGGCCGTCGCCTGATCCTGCTCCGCCCTGGCCTTCGCCTGGTCCTGCTCCGCCCTGGCCTTCGCCTGGTCCTGCTCCGCCCTGGCCTTCGCCTGGTCCTGCTCCGCCCTGGCCTTCGCCTGGTCCTGCTCCGCCCTGGCCTTCGCCTGGTCGTCTGCTCCAAGTCTGGTCCTGTTCCCCTGCACAGACTTGGCCCTCCTTCCCTCCCCCAGGACCACCTCCGTGTCACCACCCTCCTGAACTTTTGTTTTGGGTTTTGTTTTGGGTGTTACACTAGGGGCGTCGGGAGCCGCCCATAGGAGGGGGGCTATGTCACGTGTGGGTTTTGTTGTGTTTTATATATCACGTGATTCCTTGTTGGTCATGTGATCCTGCCATGTGTCTTGTCTTTTGTCATGTTGTTGCTCAGTGTCCACAGGTGTTTCTTATCAACCACGCCCCCTTGTTATCTTGATTGGCTTGTTTGTCTGTGTATTTAAACCCCTTTGTTTCAGTTGTTGCCTGTCGGTTGTTGTTTAATGTCACTCGGTTCCTGCCTGTTCATCTGTCCTGTTCTGAGGTCCCTGGATTATCTGTTAGTGTGATTAATAAATGCTTGCGATTGGATTCGCTTTCTGTCTCGTTCCTGACCCGATGTGACAAGCTGACCATCCCTTACACTTTAACCTACCCATACCACCACACCTGTCCCTAACCTTACCCGCATCACACCTCAATAGCAGCTAGACATGTGCCGGTATTCGGTAATGCGATAAATCGCGGTAATGAATATGCACGATATTGTTATCGCGGGCTCTTCAAAATACCGTGAAAAATAATAGATTCGAATTTAGACTTTTAAAGCGCGCATTAGCTGCTTATTTTCCTTCAACCGCTCAAACACTGCGTGCTGCGCATGAACACGCGCGCACTCTGATGTAAACAATCCCCATTATGTATAAGCACTCTGTGTGCATGCAGCAGTGCGCACTAGTCTAATGTAAACAGTCCTCACATGGAGTAGAAGCATGGCGGAATACTCCCGACGATTTATCCCCGCAGGGCTGCCAAACTCTCAGACATTCCGCTTTGGACTCAAGCTTGAGACTTTCAGACAGGACGCGGAATACGCGCGCGACGCGCAGGGATGTTTTGTTGCTGCGTCGACCTGCATCGACCACGTCGGTGTTAAAGTTCAAAATAGTTAAACTTTTTATTTGTAAAATGGCAAATCGCGTTGTATCTGAAGGGCAACGTTGAACCAAGCGGCCGCAGCGTCGCGCATTCCGCGTCCTGTCTGAAAGGCGCTTAACGCAATTGACACTTTTCACGCTCTCCCACAGAGCAAAGAGGACACTGACACCGACAGACTAGACAGAGCAGGTTACTTTTGATATGAAAGTTGTTATTGATAAATTGAAGTCGATAAATCAGCTCTTAGGTTCTGATCACAGATCGTTGCTCCTCAGTTCAAGTACCGATCATCATGTTACTTTCGTTTTTATTTAAAAATACAGTATAACTTACTGAAAGGTATATTTACTTGTACATAATAACGATCAATCAGTGTTTTCAAACTTGGAAAGAGGTCAGTAACACTGCAGGAGAACAGTTGTGTCACAAAACGTTACATTTACCTCAGGAAAGCCATTTAATGACCAGCACATTAGTTGACTAGAAAAAAATATCAAGGAGTATTTTGCTAAATATTATATTTAATTTCTCTCTGTATGTTTACAGCATTATGTGAGTTTTTTTTTTCTTGAGAAACATTAACAGACTGGGGCCTACCTAATATTTATCCAAATGAGTCAATATTGAATTAAGACTGAAATCAAATCCAAGAATTTAATTGAATAATACAAACAGTAACCTACCAGTCATTGTAACATGTTGTCACTAAACTTTAAACAATTTGGTTTAGTTACCATATGTTTCGAAAATCACAATTACACATTGTGATACAAGTTGAGGTTTTTTTAGAGACCCACAATGCATCTGTTTTTCTTGAGCATTAAAATATAATTTCATTAAAATATCGTGATAATACCGTATACCGTGATAAAAGCTCAATCAATTAACCGCAGCATGAAAATTTGATACCGGCACATGACTAGCAGCAAAAGTGTTTTACAATACAACATGAGCACAATAAGTACATTAAAAGTACAAGGCACTTAATATAAAGTGGGACCGTTAATGTTTGCCTAAACTAAATCTGAATTCAGATTCATGCACACATATCATTTGTCCATAAATGCACATATATATGTATATGAAGAGTTCAGATGCAAAAGCCTCTAAATGCCATTTGAAATTTTCTTCTTTAATGATGATTTTTATCAAACTTGTATATTTAAGTTCAGTAATTTCACTTAAATAACAATTAATAGGTAATTATCATTGCCATTTAAGTGAAATCACTGAACTTAAATATACAAGCTTGATAAAAATGATCATTCTAGAAGAAAATTTCAAATGGCACTTAGAGGCTTTTGCATCTGAACTCTTCATATATTTATGAATAAATGTTATATTATAAATAAACATGCATATACTATAGATTTGAAACAATACTAACACAAATAAAAACTATCGACCCATTTGTCGTTCTAAACATGATACAGAAGGTCCATCTTCTCCATGCCTTAGTTTTCACCAGGTTGTGGAGCTAATAAATCCCTTTCCCGTTCGATAGAGTGACCCAGCTCTGGGCAGACTGACGTGGCCCTGATTGGGAAGAGACAGCGTGCAGTTTGGGTCATAGATTATGAACGGTGAAGTGCGCACAGCAGCAGAATTATTTTTTATGACTGGGAGCAGCAAAAAAAAAATAAAAATAGCTGAGCACATTCTTCCGACGCGCTCGTGTGAGATGCTTCTGTTGTGCCTGCTGGTCATACGTGTCCGGAAGTTGATACTCGGGGTGTGTTTTCATGTTTTTCATGTGCTGTTTCTATCCAGCCCAACGGGAGCAGTCAAGGGAAGGTGCACAACCCGTTCCTGCCCACCCCAATGCTGCCGCCTCCTCCGCCTCCCCCGATGGCACGACCCGTGCCCCTGCCTGTGTCAGACTCCAAACCTCCCTCGACCTCCACTGAGGGAGGGGGCAACTCCCCCACCTCGCCAAGTGAGTACTCCACCTCTTTTATATCTAATATTATTATTTACATATCTATCTATCTATTGTAAATGTTTAAATAACTAAATATAATACATTTAAACAATCCCAAAACAACAAGCTCTGGCTCACACATGCCTAATACTCAATCCCAAACATAAAGGCATGGTTTCACAGACAGGGCTTAGATTAAGTCAGGATTATTCAAGTATCTTTTATAAACAACATGCCTCTACTGGTGTGCATCTCGAGACAAAACAATGACACTGGCATATTTCAGTTAAAACAGCTTAAACATGCATTTTAGTTTGAGATTAGCTTAAGCCTTGTCTGTGAAGTGTATGTTTGGTTCGATTAAACCACCCTGGTGCGATTGCTCTGGTTGTGCGTTTCGGTTCATTTGAAAAAGTGTGAACACTGCCATCCGAACCCTGGTGCGCATCAAACAAGTGGGGCGAGACTGCTGAAAAGATTTGTCGCGGTTCCAAACGAACTTGTGCGAATTGAATGAAATATGAACGCAACACGGATCAAAGACATGTAAGCAAAACAGGAAGATGAGACCCTAAAAATTACATAATGCTCACGCATATATTTTTGACGCTGCGTTTTGACTATTTTGCAAGCTCTTCACGAGTTCTCAGCTGGTCAAAATTCCATCATATGCAGTCTATGCACATACATGGAGCGCATTTAGCCCAGCACACACCATTGTTTTGGATGTTTTGTAAGTTCTGTCATAAAATATTTGTAATAAATGCCGACCAATCAGTTTGTGAACGTTTATCTAGGTTCGGTATCTTTTGGTTCTGTGATAAAAATGCCAATCTAAATGCTAAGCGGACCAGGACTAAATGTTTTTTTGTTGAAACTGGGGGAAAACGTATCAGTTGCTTTCAGTTAAAACAGCTCAAACGTGCATTATAGTCTGGGACTAGGCTTAAAGGAGTAGTTCACTTTTGAAAAAACTTGCTGATAATTTACTCACCCCCATGTCATCCAAGATATCCATGTCTTTCTTTCTTCAGTCGAAAAGAAATGAAGGTTTTTAATGAAAACATTCCAGGATTTTTTCTCCATATAATGCACTTCAGTGGGAACCAAACAGTTCAAGGTCCAAAAGACACTTTAAAGGGCTTTAAACGATTCCAGACAATGAATAAGGGTCTTATCAAGGGAAATGATTGCTCACTTAATAAATAAATAACAAAGTTTAAGTTTTATAAGCTCAAATGCTCGCCTTGCTCTGTTCTGTGACGCACGTTTGTGACTCTCCTGTTCGAACTCATTCATCAAAATGAACAAATCTTTTCATTTTGTTGAGTCAATTCAATCGTTTTGTTCGTTGAATGAACCAAATGACTCGGAAAAAGATTTGTTCATTTATTTTTTAAATGAGCGATCGTTTCGCTTGATAAGACCCTTATTCATCGTCTGGCGTCGTTTAAAGCCCTTTGAACAGTTTGAAACTGTCTTTTGGACCTTGAACCGTTTGGTTCCCAGTAAAATGCATTATGTTTTCATCAGAAACCTTAATTTCTTTTCGACTGAAGAAAGAATGACATCTTGGATGACATGGGGGACATCTTGAACTACACCTTTAAGCCTTGTCTGTAAAACCAGGAGGAAGTTTCTCAGATGAGCTTATCTACAGGGTTTTTTATTGTTTTTTTATGTAATAAATAGATTTTCCCATCAAACATGTGCAGTGTTCATATCAAGCCTTTCTCTCAACAGCTGTACTGCTCCCGATACAATATTGATATTCATTGTGTGTGTGTGTGTGTTTAATTCTAACTACAGCCTACTCCACACCGAGCACGTCTCCCGCTCAGCGCTTTGTCAGCGTGGGCCCCAGAGACCCCAGCTTTGTAAATATCCCTCAGCAGCCTCAGGTGAGTACATATGCCCAGATCCACAGAGTCCCTGAAAGTCCATCAAGAATGCTTGTTGTCTGTCATAATAGGCTTTCAGCACTGTTATGCCAGCTCACATAACTCCCTCGCTCACTGTGAGAGCTCATAGCTGATTTATTGTGTGTAATTGGCATGTTCAGACTCGGGTTCAATGGCACGGTGACCGCAACCTTGATTTATACCCCTTGCACACGTACAGTCGCCTGCATGCTACAGATTAGTTACAGTTTATAATTTGACATGGCAGTTACAACATTTGGCTATTTAGAAGTTGTCAGGATCAGCCAATAACTGATAAAACAATTTCAATTAACATGTACACAGTTTACTCAACATTTATATATCAACCAATATTATTATATTAATATATCACATGACTGTTTGGCTGTTTTGAGGTTGTCAGGATCCGCCATTAAACATTTACGCAACGTTTACTCAACATTTACTTAAGCAAAAAACTGACTAAGCGACTAGTAAAAGGGAAAAAGCTAGTAGTTTTAGCTAATTCCTATGTCAGTTCTGTATTACTCTGTTAAATGTTGTGTAAACGTTTGAGTTTGAAGTAAAAAAAAATATTTGGTTGCTTAAACTGTACATAAAAAGTGTTATAGCATTAGATATAAAATAGATTTTACAATTAAAACAGAAGCATTTTTTTTTTTTTTATCAAACGATAAAACGATATATATATTATATTAGTCTGTAGTTATCAGTTTGTGCATTAGGCAATTAAAACCCATATCAGTCAACCACTGCTATTCATATATTCATAAACGGACATCAGGATCACCCTGTTAATGTAAATGAACTTGTGTTTGTTTTTTCCAGTCATGTAAATGCTAATGCGACTGAAATGCCGCCTGTAACCTTAATCGTCACACACACATATCTACAATGACAAATGCAGCTTACACTGCCACCTGCACTCATGCAAACTGAAAAAAGAGCATCAGTTACCTCTGTAAACGCAGCTATAACACGCACACACACACGCGCTCATAGAGAAGCACTCAAGACTGGATTGGATCAGAGAGAGAGAGATTGTGTGTGTGTGTGAGATAAGTCCGGAGGCCTGCAGCAGCCTCCCATCGATTTATTGACTGTGTCGCAGGCCGCAAGACACGCATCCCCCAGTAGAATGGAGGCAGGTGTTTGTCAGGCCGGCTGGGAGGGGAACGGGGGGTTGTTATTATTTATTGTTTGTATTTATTTATTACTCCTGCCCGCCTCTGCCACCCCTTCTCTCTGTCCTTCTCTCTATCACCTTTTCCTCTCTCCCTCCCCTGCTCAGGTGGCTTCTAAGGTTCTCTACTGGTATCCGTACATTTACTTATTTATATATTTATATACAGTATAAACAAGAAATTAAGTTATATAATCTGGATATGATCAAAATGAAGGCAAAAACAAATATATACATTTTCGTTTTCGCAATATAGTTGCAGTTTCGTTTTTTGTTGTTGTTGGTTAACAATTTATTTTTATTCTTTCGTCACTCTCAGGCGAACTCTTGTGTTTCAGTGGTCTTTTGTCTTTTGTTTGTTTGTTTGATGTCCAAGCCAATTCATTTTTAAAGGGATACTCCACTTTTTTTGGAAATAGGCTCATTTTACAACTCCCCCAGAGTTAAACTGTCGAGTTTTACCGTTTTCGAATCCATTCAGCCGATTTTCTGATATTTAGAAGAATATCAGTAAACAGACTATATTTTTTTCCTACTATGGAAGTCAATGAGACCAGAAACTGTCTGGTTACTGATATTCTTCTAAATATCAGAAAATCTGCTGAATGGATTCGAAAATGGTATAACCCAACTATTTAACTCTGGGGGAGTGGTAAAATGAGCCTATTTCCAAAAAAAGTGGAGTATCCCTTTAACATCGTAAAACTGCAAGCGAACAAATAAACAGCCCTTGCACACCTCAATTGTTGCGAGCAGGGGTCTTTGCTTAATTCATTATACTTATTTAAAACTGCAACAGTATCATTTTACTACAAGACTGAAGTTGAAATGGAGGCCATATGAAGATTTTTGCAAGCCACGTTTTGTCATCCTATAGAATGCAACTCGGATCAGCTGCGAGCGACGTCTCGCGAATGCCATCACCCACTGTGTCAGTGAACTCTTTGAGGCTCTGTCTAGCCAGACAGTGATTGGACTGTGAGTTTATATTAAAGCCCTGTATGAGTCTCAGACTGGCCATATTGACGAGTCTGTGACCCCACGGCAGGGTTCGGTCGCACCATTTCATTGGCCTCATAAGCTGGTACGGACCACCCTGGGGCGGGGAGGACAAAAGTTACCCGCGGTGGCCGGCGTGTTTCGGGGGGTGGGGTATAAAAGAGAACGAAAGTGACGGGCAGACAAGAATGATGTGACCCTAACTGTAAACATTCCTAGCGGCCCAGCCATGGTAACCAGGCAGAGAGCGAGAGACGGGACAGTATGATGGAGGGGTCTGCCATGGGAGGAGGGGATGGGAATGAAAGAGAAGGATGGTGGGAGGGTGGCAGCGCCCTCAGGGGTTTGCTGCCATGGGAGTTGTTGGCGCTTACCCTCTCAGATGGAAAGGTTGGCACCACATGCAGAGATATACGGACGAGAAGCGTCACGCCTGTTCAAACTGAGGGGCCACTTTTTAGTTTTCAAAACATTTGGATATAAAAACCGTGCCTGATTATTATAGGCATGTGTGTCTGCAGTTTTGCTTGATGATCTAAATATATAACAACATAACATTACATATAATATAATAACATTATAGATAATATACATTTTGGCAGAAATCATGCTGCCTTTTTATGTATTCAATTATTTAATATAGTTAAAAAAATGAGTTATTATCCCCCCTAGGTGATATTATAATATTATTATGTAACTATAATAATTGAAAATGTTATTAATTATGTGTGTGTGTGTGTGTGTGTATATATATATATATATATATACACACACACACACACACACACATGCATGTATATTTAAGAAAAAAATATTATTTATATATAATATATATATATATATATATATATAATTTATATATAATATAAATTATATATAAATCTATATACAGTTTATGAAAATGAAAATATTTCTTAAATATATACAAGCATGTGTGTGTGTATTTATATATATAAAATAATTATGCACAGTGCACCCACATATATTATGTAAACACAAACTCATTTTATAATATGCGAAATATTTATGTATTGTGTATTTATTTAAAACTAATAATATATAATTATCATACATTAGGTTGGACAGAAATCACACTGCAGTTTTGCTTTGTTTTAAATTTTTATTTCATTTTTTGCATGGTTTTAGTTAATGATAATATTTGAAGGCAGATCTGCATGCATGATTGACAAAACCAACAATTAATCAATTATGATCAATAAATCACATAAAAAATTGCGTGCACAAGCCCGTAATCTGTGTTTAATTGTGACGCGTGCAGGGACTGCAGCCTGACCCCGGTCCCGAAGCGGTGCAGATAAAGCAATGATTCATAAACAGCGTTTTTAATCAGAACGTGCTGGGAGGAACTGAGTGTGATGGGGAGCGGAGATAGGCACTGCAGTGTGACTCACACACACACACACACAAACGCAGGCAGTAAATCGGCCCGATAGAGGCTGGGATGAGAACGCCGGCACCCTTGGCTTTTATTCGCTTCCTATAAACGTTAGCATGCGGGAGAGATAACATCAGTAATTGACTCTTGTCCTCCACGTCAATTTGCCGTAGTTAAGCATCTGAGGAGATGTCCCCCGCAAAAAAAACGCCTAACGATTATTACTCGAATTCATAATCGACGTTCATTCCGGACACAAAGAAACCTCAAAAGGCTGCAGGGAAAGCGACGCCTCCTTAATAGTGCTGTTTAAACAAATTTTCACAGATTCTGCCACGTGCGTTTCTTCCCGAAGCCAGGAGAGGGCAGAGCGCCAGACTGCCGGACACACAAATTAATTACCCGAGATTGATTTCAACTCTATGCTCCGTGTCACACCCCAGAAAATCACAGGCTCCTGTTTCTGTCGGAACGCATACAGGCCTCCACAAATCTGGAGAGGGAAAGAGAAGAGCGACCGTTTCCCTCACACCTGCGAACATCGCCGCTGCCACGCTCTGATAATAAACACCATGAATATGTTTATATCCCCCTCAGGTGTGAGCTGTTTGTTTGGGGTCGTCTAATGGACTGCCGCTCTCTGCCGTTTTCTTTTTTCCCCCCGTAGCGTCTGATGGCAAAATGTAAATAAATAATGTAGTAAATGTCTGCGGGGTCCCGTGGGGAGCTGTAATACGTGGCTGGGCGGTTTGGGTTTGAGATGGCTTTTATAAGCACTGCTCTCCAGGCCCGGGCTGGTTTGCATTACATGAGGCTGAATTCCTCTGAGATGACACTCATCCTCAGGCACTTTAGCGCGGCTGCTGACTCAGCACTCCTCCGACCTGATGAGATTACTCCTGCCATTGACAGCCAGTTAAAGGACCAGACCAAGATTCCCAGCAGCCCGTTTCTGTCGCTCTATCTCTTCTGATCCTTCTTCCTTAATCTCTTACGCCCCAACTTTCTCGATCCTTTCCCAACTTTTTAACTCCCTTTTGGTCTTAAAGGGATAGTTTGCCCAAATATGAAAATTCTGTCACGTCGTTCCAAACCTCTATGACTTAAAGGAGACATTTCGAAGAATGTGCTGGTTGCGCATGAATTGAGAAATCAAATTTTCCTTGAGCTTTTGACATCTAAGAGGTCATCATATCATAAGAATATCGTGTAAGTTTCAGAACTGAAAACATCCTTGTTAGTCCAGTAAAAGCTTTTATTGACACCAGCCTCAGCAAAAGACTGGGGAACTATGACGTCAAAGAGGATAAAACACCACCCCCGCAGAAGAAGATCAACACCTACTTCAATACGGCCAGTTTAGCCCCGCCCACCGATTCGCGCATTACACGCATTGCTAAA